GGCAGAATGGCTAATGAGAAATTTCCTGGAGAGATAGCTCAATTTGGTCAATTTAATTATTGTCTATGAGGTGGTATCGGGATTATGTTAGCTCACCATATTATTTGTGAAACGGTCCCTTCTCCTGTATTTTCTGTAAGAGTTTGAGTAAGATTAGCATTATTTATTTCTTATGTTTGATAGAGTGATGCTGAGTAAAGACCTCCACCCTGACCTTCTTTTTGAAGGCCTGCAAAACTCCAAGCAGGGAAATAAAGGAAAATCACAAAATTTTTTAAAGAGAAATTCCAGGCATCTAGCTAGCCCCAGAGGTAATTAAGTAACTTGCTAAGGAAGAAGATAATAGCAGCCTTAACAACAGTGAGGGGAGTTAAACCTCCAGAGATGTTTGCTTTCCCTACAGAAACTAAAGAGGACATCTGAACGGATGTCCCTGAGTTGCCTTTCAGAGGCTTGGACACCCACTGGGGATTCCCACCTAACAGATCTGCTGGTACATATAGCCCAGATTGGAGGGAAGTGAAGACTAAACTTTAACTATTGCCTTCTGTTCTAAGTTTTTTCCCGAGAGGCTTGGAGAAAGTCACTCCCCCTAGCAACTTTCTACTAACTCCAAAATTTTTAAACAGAAAACTCTGTTTTCTTAACCAATTGCCAACCAATTGTTTCTGCTTTGATTTTCTTTTTTTGTAGAAAGATTTTTTTTCTTTTTTCTTTTTTTTTAAATTGCATTTTAGGTTTTGGGGTACATATGAAGAACATGCAAGATAGTTGTACAGGTACACACGTGGCAGTGTGATTTGCTGCCTTTCTCCCCTTCACCTATATCTGGCATTCCTCCCCATGCTATCTCTCCCCAACTCGCCACCCCCTGCTGTCCCTCCCCTATTCCCCTCAACAGACCCAAGTTTATAGTGCTCCCTTCCCTGTGTCCCTGTGTTCTCATTGTTCAACACTCACCTATGAGTGAGAACATGCGGTATTTCATTTTCTGTTCTTGTGTCAGTTTGCTGAGAATGATGGTCTCCAGGTTCATCCATGTCCCTACAAAGGACATGAACTCATCGTTTTTGATGGCTGCATAGTATTCCATGGTGTATATGTGCCACATTTTCCCTGGAACCAACCCAGATGCCCATCAATGACAGACTGGACAGGGAATATGTAGAAAGATTTTTAATCATAAATTCATGACTGTCAATATTGATTTTTAATTTTTTTCTATTAATTTTTAAATTTCTGTTGAATCTGTAGTTATGTCACTTCTTTAATGAATTGATCATTTCTAATGTTTCTTCTTTTTTGGATCAACCTTACTACGTGCTTGTTGGTTTATTAATCTTTTCAAAGAACCAACTATAGGATGTTAATCAAATTGCTCTTCTTAAGATGGAAGTGTATATCATTAATGTTTGACTTTTTTTCTAATATCGATTTAAAGCTACATTTCTTCCTCTAAATACTACTAGAAATTCATCCACAAATAACAGTTTTTTTTGAACTATGTATTTTTCAATTTTCTTCTAAATTTCTTGTTTGATGTGTGATTTATTAACATTTACAAATTATTCTTATATTTGTGGTGGGAGAATATTATCTTTATTATTTCAGTCATTCAGCATTTATTGAGACTTGCTTATGGCCCAGAATACCATCTTGGTCATTGTTCAGCACATTAACAGAAAATTTATCTCATAATTTTAAGTGTAATATCCTCTATATGACAAATTGTTTGATAGTGTTGTTCAAATATTTTATTTGTATTGAATTGTGCCTACTTTTTCTCTCAATAAGCAAGAATGGAGTATTAAACTCTCCCCCATGTTAATGGATTTGCCAATTTCCCCCTTTAATATTTCCAATTTTACCTCATATATTCTAAAATTCAGTTATTTGATGCCGTTTTGAATTATTGTGTCTATTTAATACATTGACCCTGTTATCGTGATAAAACATGTTTCTCTCTATTCATACTCTTTATTTGAAGTCTACTTTTTTTCTGACATTAGTATGACCACAAAGGTTTTCTTCTGATTATTGTTTGCATAGCATATATTTTCCATCTTTTTATTTCCATACATAAGTGTTTATATTTAATATGCATTTCATATAAATAACATAAAGTATTGTCTTCTTAAAAATCCGTTGTTCTAATCTCTGTCTTTAACTGGAGTGTTTAGTCTACTTACATTTCATATAATTCTTCACGTCATTGTATTTTAATCTACCATATCATTATTTGTTTCTTATTTGTACCATCTTCTTTGGTTTCTTACAGTTTACATTATTTTTATTTAGCTAGTTAGTTATACTGGTTACTCTATGGGAGTTGTTCTCAAGCTTCTTGGTCTCAGCACCTGTCTATTCTCTTAAATGTTAATGAGAATCCTAAACAGCTTTTGCTTATGTGGTTTACATCTATCAGTATTTATCTTACTAGGAATTAAAATGATCTTTTTAAAACACAAGAGTACACAGCAATGTTAGCCTACCCAGCATTGTAAGAATCTCAGTTTCCAGGCACTCCAGCCCATGAGATTGCTCACTACCTTTCATGTGAGACAGGATGACTGTCACTCAATGAATGCAAACTGTTAGCAAAAGAACACCATAGCATACAAATGTACTATTTATAGGCCATATCTGTCATTGGAATAACACCCAAAGCCACAGAGATGTTATGGAAGTTACTCAGGATCCCATTTTTAAAGAAGGATTCACTATACCAGAATGTATATTTCGGACCAAGTTGACAGTATAGGGAGGTTTCTATTAATCTATCTGAATGAATAATTCCAAGAAACACATTCATGAACTAGCAGGAGAGAGAATCTAGAAAGTTAGTATATAAGCCACTCACACGGACAAGGAGTTTCTTACACAATCGAACCAGTCTGGAAAAGTGGCTAGGTATTTGTGTTTGTCAAGGGTCCTTAACTCTGATTTATTTTCCAAAATAGATTTCCTACAGATTGGAGTTGAGGCTAAACTGTGGCTAACCGGGGAGATGTTACCGGTCTTTGAGGCAGTAAATAGGAGACCAACGGAAAATCTTTAGGATGTTCCTTTTGGGGTGATCTATCTTTTTAATGACCTAGACTACTTGATTGACTGCTTAATGGCATTTAAATAGGTAATAAAATAAGTAACCAGGATGACTATGTCCATGTTTTCAACCTTGCAGCCAAAGAAATAAAAGAGATAAAACTTTTAGACATGCACATGGACATTCAAAAAGCAGTTACAACAAGCAATTCACAAAAATTACCTTGAGCAGCAGTGGGAAATCAGAGTTGTATGAAAAATATGACTGCTGATATTTACTTATTTATCACTTCACAGATTTGTTTTAAAGCTTAACTGAGTTGCCACATATCATGTGTATAATAAACATTGACAACTATTATTATGGGCAAAGCTGGTCTTACTAGTTTTCACCAAGACTCCATGGAGCCAGATGATTTGCTTCAGAGTTGACAGTTAATACGTGCTAGAGACAAGATTTGAACTAAAGATTATGATTCAAAATCCAGCCTTCTTTCCAAACACTATGATGTCAATTACACAGGACAAACTTCTTTGGTCTAATTTATCCCAAATTAGTTTATATAGAAGAAAAAATAATAATTTCTACCCAGTGAAATAAAAAATTTAATTAAAATGACCATTCAAATCACAAGATACAAAATGCAACGGATTGAAAATGTGCTCAGTGTATTATTTGTAATTATTTTATTCATAAGACTTGCATTTGAAAATTATTTACTTCATAATCTGCATTTATAGAATATAACTGGGCATTAATTTAAGTATTTTTTTTCTGTCTTAGAAATTAGTGGTGAACTACAGTCGATAGCACAATTATTTAAGTTAGATGTTAGTCCAAATGGATGGAACTCAATTTTGGAAATATAACTTCTGGTTCCTGAATACATTTGCCAGTGTGAGAAAATGGTGACAAGTTCTAATTACAGTTATTATAGTAGAGAAAAAAAAAAGAGTAATCACCTCTGGATCTCTGGAAAAAATCCTTCAGGGATTTTTGCTGCTTGGTTGAATCAAACATGTTTTGTTACCACATGAACTTCAGTGGAACCTAATTCTAAAAGTATCCTTGCTGCTCAAGACACATTTTCTAAAATCTAAACCACAAGTACATTACTTAGAAAATTTGAGACTGATATAAAACAGTAGAATAAGTTAGCATAAATATATTTGATAATGGGAAGTTTTAAAGGATGACAGCTTTCTTCAGCTTTCTTATATTTTTGGAATTATACTGTTAAGTTTCCTCTCTAGAGTGAAAATTGTGCTAGTTCACACAAAAGCTGTTTAAAAAACACAACTAGAAACTTAAGTCGTTCTTACACTTGGGTGGCGAGACAGTTCTGTAGGAGGCATAATAAAATCATGTGCTGTGCTGACAGTTCCAGACAGGCAGAAATAACGTGAGCATCATTGCTCCATTAAGACAACTGTCTTCCGTGTGATTAAAATTTCAAAATGAAATCAACACACAGATGCATTTACTTCTTAGTGAATGCGGGCTCTACTTATATAAGGATTTCATTCTTTGTCATTTCTTTCCAGAATTAATATTCCAGCAAAGATAGAAACTTGCCATTCGTGTCTGTTATGTTAACATCTTCATTAACCCCTTTTTCTACTTTAAACACAATCATGTTCAAAACCATTTTCTACTTAACATTTAGGCCTGCAGTTGCTATGACATTATGTCTTTTTAAAATGGACAAGAGTATACACTGGAAGTTCAGTCCCACTTCAGTATAACAAACGAAACCAGAAGGCAGTTGAAGTTCCGTTATATTAACATAATCCCAAGACGATTCTTTCCTAAAGGGTACCTAAAGTCTTTTTTTGAATAGTATTTCATTATTCTATACCCATACACATGTAAAATATACGTATATGTGGATGTGGTCACAATACTTAGATGTGTACTCATTTTAAAGTGTATTTTAAAAGCATGATAAACTCACCTTAGAAAGTCCACCGACTTCCAAATAGAAGCAGATAATGAACACATTCCAGGTGACCCAGAGGGCAGTCCACACTGTATACTAGATAGAAAGGTGGGCGGGAGAAAGAGAAGAAAAATGTGGAGATGAAAGGCATGTATATCAAATAAATTAACAATAAAAATGTCAATAGGTCTATCTTCTGGGAATAAACAGACAGAAAGCACTCAGAAAAGAATGCTATCTATGTGGTCCCCTAAGCTCTCCAGAAATTAAAAATCCGACAGTTTCTACTGTTTTCAGTAGATACCAATAAAGCTAGATTTACTTTTAAAGTGTTTTGCTGGCTTGCCAGGTACAAGTTAAACTCAAGTGTTGATTTGATTTCTGTTTTCTGAGTATTATCTTTTCTGAGGAACACAATTGTGCAAATCATCCTGTGAGCTCTCGATCATCTTTAAGTTATAACATAAAACTGTCACATTTTAAGAAATGGTTAGTGAAACCAAGCACTGAAAGAAGGCCATGTTTGAAAATAAATGCGTGGAGTACAAAATTAACAAACTTTCATCTGTTGGACTATTTAATTAAGAGTAGAAGGTGTGCCTCTAATTTGATCATATAATAATAAAAATATAATCTTATAAAAGTTTAAAAGCAGAGAAATTACTAAATAGGATTAAGAATTAGAAAAGATTTCCATGTTTTCCAATCATATCCATTCAACAAATTTTAAACCTATGGGTCTTAATGATTAATTGATTTTATCAAGGTGTTATGTATTAGGAAACACCTTCTCCCAGAGCATTAGTCAGTCTCAATTAAGGTAGTCCTAGATCGAGAGACTCATTGATAGATAATCAGTGATTGGACTAGGGCTGCCCTCATCCAGTCACTTTCTTATGCAGACAAGAAATTGAGGCCCAGAAAACTGACATACAGAACAGCTAGGATGACTGAGGATGGTACTTACTGTAGAACACAAATAACATATCAAATACATTAGTTTCCCTATTCATTTTATCTTATCACAAAAATGCATGAATTCTTAATGTCTTAGGTAGACTTATTAATTGAATTATTGCTATCAATGATTACAATCATTGCATACTATTTTTAAATTGAAATATTGAAATCATTTCCTTAGCTTATTCTATGCTGTCAAATAATCAAATTATAAATTTTAGACACTGTATAATATAGCCATGTTACTAACACAAACTTTATCTGAAGCTTTGAACTATTTATGAAATTTAATTCATATTATGTATTCTGTCATTTATGAATATTTAAGGGCTTTCAAAATAATCTCATGTAGTAGTGTAGTCCTATAATTGGTTACATTTAATATTCCATAATATAACTGTTTTTCTGACAGAAGATTTGCTTTCTATTTATTAATTTAGAGATGGAGTTTCCCTCGTTGCCCAGGCTGGAGGGCAATGGTGTGATCTCGGCTCACGGTGACCTCCACCTCCCACATTCAAGCCATTCTCCTGCCTCAGCCTCCCCAGTAGCTGGGATTATAAGCATGCACCACCATGCCCAGCTAATTTTGTATTTTTAGAAGAGACAGGGTTTCTCCATGTTGGTAAGTGTGGCCTCAAACTCCCGACCTCAGGTGATCCACCCGCCTCGGCCTCCCAAAGTGCTGGGATTATAGGCGTGAGCCACTGCACCAGGCCTGCTTTTGTTTTAAAGAATAATACAATTATAATTATGAGATAAACCTCAAAATCACTGGAAATTTAATTGGAAAACCTTAAAAAGTTAACATAAGTAAAAACACATAGTGAGATATTTGGTATATGCAGATATTGCTGATGTTGCAATATATGCTGTTCATAAAGTCTTCTAGTATGAGTGGACTTGGTAAACTTGAACTTTCAGTAAGTTTTAAAGCTCTTCCTAGCAAGATGGCATCTAGTATCTGCTATCTTCCATTCTACATAAATCTAATTAAAAGTATATTGAAATCAGAGAGCATTGCTAACCTCTAAATCATGAGAAAAAAGTCACTGAAAAAGGTTAGGAAAAGAACATAAAATAAAGCAATATTAAAGTAAGGTAAGAAACTAAATTAATTACAAAGCCATATGATAGAACTTAATTATTAGGACTAATTCCTAAACCTACAGGTATTTTTTTAGAGAATCAATTCACAGTGATAACAAACGCATAATAAAACACATCTCTTTAAAGATCATAGCACACACTTGGTGACTGAAGTATATTCAGGATCTCTCAAAAGTTGTACTATTGATGGTATTTCTGAACTCACAAAGGGAAAATTACCAGACTAAGTAAACCTCGACTGTCAGTTCCTATGTTTTTGACAGTAATAGGGTTATTATCCTGGTTCCTTCTGTGTCCCTGGTACTATGCTAAGTGCTTTACATAGATCCTGTCGTTCAATCATCACCCTTAAACCGAGGTAGAGGAATAATCATTTAATCACCTATTTAGTGTTGATGTTAGGATTTGACACCTGATAGTTTGATTCCAGAATTGGGATGCTTAAGCATTTTAAGGTAGGCTTTATTCTAAAAGATTTTAGTAAAAGGCTTATAGATTCAGGACAAGGTAATCCATCACTCAATTAAGCAATTTGTCAAATGATCAATTCACCAAATTACCAGTTTACCTCAAATTTTTATTCATATCTGTTCTATAATTGGCAATTTATTTTAGAATGACAGTATATTTATATTTTACAATTAGTGTGACATACACAATATGGAATTCATGTGTTGTTTGTTTTAGCAATATTGTGTAATATCTTCTAATACATTTACAAGTTTTTTCTAATAAATTTGTGTTTCTTTGCTGAGAACAAAGAAAATATATATTTTTTATTTTAAACTGTTATAAGATATAAACTGTATCTTATTGTGCACTTGAGACACAAATCTGATCATGAGTGTAAGAGAAAAGAGATATCTAGGGATATAAATATATCATAGAAATCTAGCTAGGCAGGAAGTATTGGGATAACCAATGATCAAAGAGACTGCCTATCTTCCCTATCATCTTTTTGAAGTATATTATATTATTTATCATTCAACTGAAGCAATAATTTAAAAAGTAAGACTCTCCATTTTTAACAGATATCCTATGGTTATTATAAAGCAGGCTTACATAATATATTTAGGTAGATTAAATATACCTGTAGTAAAGAAAGCTTTTCAATATAAGGAAAAAAAATCACTCTCTGCATAATCTCTCCCTCTCTCTTCTACTTTGCTTATGTTTAGAATATATATTTAAAATCCAAATCCACATAGACAAAGCCTATAATAATGAAAAAGAATGTTTATGCATTTTATCTGACTTCTTAAATATATTCTAGTTTTACAAGGATATTTCAGCAATTTTTAATGGAAATGGACATCTTCCAGCCTATTTCTTCCACATCAAGCAATTAGTTTATAATATGAATTATTTTTAATTTCTGAGCTTGCATATTTTCTAATTATGAGAAAGGCCATTCATTCATTCTTTCATATACAAATCAATTTGCTATAATATTATATGCAATATGCTAGACTTATAATAAAAACATAGAGTAAGTTCCTTTCTTAGTCATTGTTGTAACATTTTCTAGCAGAGTAAATGGGAAAAAAAGACATGTGAACAGTTCAAATATTTGTCAATCATTTACTCTGTATTTGGCTACTGTAAGCAAGTCATATACATTATATAATTCTTTAAAATGATCTATGGGTCAGGTTTTTACAAATGAGGTAACCATGGCAAAAAGAAACCAAATAAAGGTCCTGAGGCTTCACAGCCAATAATCGGTGAGGAGGAATTTAAGTGTGATGTTTACCAATTGAATCAAAACCCAACATTCAACTTCACGTTGAGCAGTGACTCCAGAATGGGATTTATGCTGACATAGTAGGACAATTTTGCTATACAACAATTCAGATTAAAATGAGTTGTCCTTTGTATATAAGCATTTGAATAAAAGTCCAAATAACTAATTTATGGACTTTTCAAATTTACTTGACCCTTTAAAATTTTTAAAGGCTGTTAAATTTTGTCAAAGCCTTCTCTGCATCTATTGAGATAATCATGTGGTTTCTGTCTTTGGTTCTCTTTATGTGATGGATTATGTTTATAGATTTGAATATGTTGAACCGGACTATCATCCCCAGGATGAAGCCTACTTGATCATGAATAGCTTTTTGATGTGCTGTTGTATTTGGTTTGCCAGTATTTTATTGAAGATTTTTGCATCAATGTTCATTATGGATATCGGCCTGAAATTTTCTTTTTTAGTTGTATCTCTGCCAAGTTTTGGTATCAGGATAATGTTGGTCTCTTAAAATGAGTTAGGGAGTATTCCCTCTTTTTGTATTGTTTTGAATAGTTTCAGAAGGAATGACACCAGTTCCTCTTTGTACGTTTGGTAGAATTCAGCTGTGAACCTGTCTGAACCTGGACTTTTTTTGGTAGACTATTAATTGCTGCCTCAGCAGCCCTTTATGCTAAAAATGCTCAATAAACTAGGTATCAGTGGGACGTATCTTAAAACAATAAAAGATATTTATGACAAACCCATAGCTAATATCATACTGAATGAGCAAAAACTAAAAGCATTCCCTTTGAAAACTGGCACTAGACTAGGATGCCCTCTCTCACCACTCCTACTCAATACAGTATTGGAAGTTCTAGCCAGAGCAATCAGACAAGAAATAGAAATAAAGGGTATTCAGTTAGGAGAAGAGGAAGTCAAATTGTTTCCATTTGCAGATGACATGATTGTATATTTAGAAGACCCCATCATCTCAGCCCCAAATCTTAAGATGATAAGCAACTTCAGCAAAGTCTCAGGATACAAAATCAACAGGCAGAAATCACAAGCATTCCTATATACCAATAACAGACAAACAGAGAGACAAATCATGAATGAACTCGCATTCACAATTGCTACAAAGAGAATAAAATACCTAGGAATACAACTAACAAAGGATGTGAAGGACCTTTTCAAGGAGAACTACGAACTACTGCTCAAGAAAATGAGAGAACACAAACAGAAGGAAAAACATTCCATGCTCAAGGATAGAAAGAATCAATATAATGAAAATGGCTATACT